TCCATGCGGGCGACGTTCTTGCTCGACATCCCCCGAGAGATCCAAGGGGCCTGCCTCTGGGCATCGCGCTGTTTTTGGCTCTGATTCAGCAGGGGCGGCGCGATGAATCAGACGAGCCCCGCGGGCCCCCGGGCGCCGCCAAACCCGCCCGCGGCCAGGCTTTGAATTTCGGGCATCCCCCATCATCCCCCTCCCCCCTCATCCCCCTCATCCTCCTCATCGTCATAGACCTCATGCACATCCTCTTCCTCCTCCTCAGGCTCCTCTTCCTCGTGCTCCTCCTCGTCGCCCCATCGCACCCCCCCTCGCCCTCGCCCTTCAACTCGAGACCCCCAACTACTGAAAGTTTCGGCGATGCATGTCTGTGGCGGGCCAGACCGGCGGCCGAATCCACTGACTGACAGGCCCAAGAGACCTCATGCATCATCAGACACAGACCCAGACAGACACAGCGCGATGAGATGGGCCCCCCGCGAAAGCTCCAAGAGGCACGCGAGGGCCCCAAAACGCCCGGGCATCCGGCACATCCCCAAGACAAGCCTCGGGATCTGCGACTCTGCGACGCAGGGCGCATTTGCGGCCGCCGCGGAGATATCCTGGCCCGGGTGCGTCGAGGGACCCGGCGGCGGCGCTGTCGAGGTCGATTGGCGCAGCGCCCTGTCGTTGCCCTGCGCGTTCGCGACGACGCGCGCGCGCTGGGCGAGACGAACGACAGGCAACAGCTAGACGCTCGACTCTCGACCACGCAGCCGCGGGGCGCATGTCTAAAGGAGGTCGCGAAGCGTGGAAGATTTCAGACCCTCAAAAATGATGTCACCAACGAGAACCTTCTCGTAGGACTTCGAGCGCTCGGCGTCGACCTGGCCGAGGGCAGGATAGGAAAGGATAGGGCGTCGGAAGAGTGCCAGGCGGCGCAGAGCGGGGACAGGGAGGACGAGGGGCACGAGGAGGGGGGGGGGGGGCGAGGAGGAGGAGGGGGAGGAGGAGGAAGAGGAGGAGGAAGAGGGGTGGGGGCGGAGGAGGAGATGGCTGTCGTCGCGTCGCCCGTCTGTCCCCGCCATCTATCCTCGTTCATCGATCGCCCCGCCTCGCCTCGAGCCACCGGGGCGATCGTCGTTTGGGTCTGGGCGCCCGAAGGAAGGGGCATGAGGGCCCTTGTCTGCGCCGAGCCCTATTCAGCACAGGCAAGGATCATCGCACCCCCTCCTTCGGGGGGCAAGGCTCACAACAGCGCGTCCGCCGCCGCCCGCCCGCTTGCCCGACGGCGCCCTGAGGGCCCAAGTGTGGCGCAACGTGACGGCCGTGAAGCCGTTGAGGTTGGCGTCGAGGAAGTTGGCGTGGACTCGGCGCCGCTCGACGAACTCCTCGCAAACGCCGCGGCGCTGGAGGCCGCCGCGCAGCGACTTGCAGCGCCGAAAATGGCCCCACGACTCCAGCTACTCAGGGTTGTCGGGCCCGCCCTTGAGCACCTCCCCCACGAACTCTTCGTAAATCTTCTCGTGGCCTGGGATGGTGTTTTTGATCTGGTTGCGCTCGCAACGCCCCCCTCCGAGTCTGCGCGAGCGCGCCAGCCGACCCTTCGTGGAACATGTTGCGGTAGTTTGCCAGCCAGACAAGTGCGAATGCTGGGCAGTCCCCTGGCATCATGCGAACTCGGATGCCGGCTCGAAGCGAGGCCTCCACAAATGCGTTCTCTGGCGCCTCCTCAAAGGAGGGTCGCGGCGACGACAGGGGGCCCACGAGCCTCAGAGAAGAAAAGAAGAGGGGCTGGATGGGGGAAAGGAGGGGGAGGAGCGAGGGGGGGGAGGAGGGGGAGGAGGAGGAGGAGGAGGAGGAGGAGGAGGTGGGGGAGGAGGAGGGGGAGACGGGGCGGGAGGAGGCGGAGGAGAAGCGGAGGAAGCAGGAGCACTGAGTAAGAGCAGGAGGAGGAGGGGGGGGGTGCAGGGGGGGGGGGGGGCGAAGGATGGGGAGGGCGAAGCAAAAACAATGAAGTTGATCATTGAAGCAAGGGGGGGCCCGGGGAGCAGGGGCAGGGAGAGGGCCCCAGGGCCAGGGGGGGGCAGCAGCGCAGCAGGCAGGGCGAGAGGAGGAGAGCGAGAGGAGGAGGATGAGAAGATGAGCAGACGGGCAGGGGGAGAGGAGAAGACGAGGAGATGAAGAGAGGCGCGCCTTGTCGCGGAAGTGCGCCCACGCCTCACCGCGGACGCAAAGCGAGCGCCCGCTCAAGGGGACGCGCTCCTTCTAGGAATCCCCGGCGGTTTCCGAATGTCGCGGTTGGGCGGCGACGGCCCGCTCGAGCGGGTCTTGCGCGGGGGCGAAGCCTCGGTGAACCATGTCAAGTTCACGTAGCCCGCGCCCCAGCGCCCCCAGAGTTTGCGCAACATGATTGCTCCATGATAATTTCCGAAGGTCGATGCCGTGCTATCCCCGGCGGCCTCGGCGGCGCCGGCAGGAACGATCTCGCCGCCGCCCCCCGACATTTTGCCGATCGCGATTCCGCCGAGGGCCCGCGAGCGCGGAAGCGCGAGCAGTGAGCGAAATGAGCGGTTGCCCAGGGAGCTCCCCATGAGCTCGAGAGCTAGTCCCGCAGCATAAACGGCAGCGGGCGGGCAAGGGGGGCGAACGGAGGCAGCGGGGCCAGCGGCGCGCCGGGCAGGAATTGGGCAGGACATGGGGGGTGAACGAGGGAACTGGGCGAGGGGGGCGGGGCCCGCGGGGTGGGTTGTTTTTATGTCGCGTTTCCCGCGCCGCCGCACGTAGGGATCGTCGCTTACCATTGCCGCGGCGTCGCCGTC